GGCCCCTCTCTTGCCCCTTCGGGAGACAGAGCAAGGTCACTATGTTTATATCCCTTTTACTACCAGTGACTTATACAATTGGAAACATCAGAATCCTTCTTTTTCAGAGAAACCCCAAGCTCGAATCTCTCTCCTGGAGTCTATTTTTCATACCCATGATCCTACTTGGGATGATTGTCAACAACTCCTCCAGGCCCTTTTTACCTCAGAGGAGAGGGAAAGAATCCGGGGACAAGCTTTAAGGTTGGTACTAGGCGGAGCAGAGGGGCCCCTAGATGAGGAACAGCGGGCCCATATTGAAGCACAACTCCCGTCCACCTGACCCCGCTGGCAAGCTAATGCCTCGGGTGGGAGAGAAGCTCTCCAGAACTATTGTCAGCATCTCCTGGCTGGCCTGAGGGGAGCGGCTCGGAAGCCTAACAATTTGAGCAAGGTAAGCGTGGTCCTTCAAGGATCAGAGGAATCCCCTTCTGCCTTTTTGGAGCATCTGTTGGAAGCATACCATACGTATACTCCAATCGATCCAGATGCCCCTGCAAATCGGCAGGCAATAAACTTGGCATTTGTTACCCAGTCGGCCCCAGACATTAGAAAAAAGCTGCAAAGGTTAGAAGGGTTTGAGAGAGAGAATAGAGAAAAGTTGATGAGTGTAGCCATGAAGGCGTTTAACAACAGGGATCCCCCGGAAGAGAGGATGGCCAAAAGATTGGGAAAGGCGACCATAGCTGCCTTGGCCAATGGAGGATTTGTCCAGAAAGAAAGACCTGAAAACAAAGGAGGGAACAAGGGAAAGATCCCACCCTTATTAGAAAAAGATCAGTGTGCCTATTGCAAGGAAAAGGGCCATTTAAAAAAGGATTGTAAAAAGCTAAAAAGGAAAAGAGAGGAGGCCCAAAAGGAAAAAGGTGGAATCCTCTTAGTAGATGAAGAAGATTGACGGGGCCAAGGTTCATGGCTGCTCAACCCTAGTGAGCCTATGGTGACTTTGGAGATAGGGGGAACAGATGTTCAGTTCCTTGTGGACACTGGTGCAGGCCACTCTGTCCTGAAGACCCCCCTTGGACCCCTCACTTCCTTAAAAACCTCCATTACTGGAGCCACAGGAAAGTCGGCCTCCTACCCTCAGACCACTAGATGAACTATGAATCTAGGCAAAGGCACCGTCACCCATTCCTTCTTAGTTATCCCTGAGTGCCCATACCCGTTGCTGGGAAGAGACTTGCTGCAAAAGTTGGGGGCTATTATTTCCTTTGAGCCTGAAGGAAGGCCTTTTGAACTTGAGCCACACTCTGCCATTATGGTAACGGTACCCCTAGAAGAATTTAGATTGCTAAAGGAGGGCGCAGAGCCCCCCCGAACAAAAATGGGACTACCTTCAGAAAAAGTTTCCCAGGGTATGGGCTGAAACCAATCAGGGTATGGGCTGGCCAACCACCATGCCCCAGTAGTGGTCCAATTGTTGGCCTCTGCTACCCCAGTCCGTGTGCAACAATACCCCCTCTGGCTGGAAGCCAAGGTGGGGATCTCTAAGCACATCCACTGACTCCAGGAAGCCGACATCTTGGTCCCTTGCCAGTCAGCCTGGAATACACCCCTGCTTCCTGTGAGGAAGCCTGGCACCTCAGACTTCAGAATGGTACAGGATTTGCGGGAGGTAAACAGCCAGATGGAGACAGTCCACCCAATGGTACCAAACCCTTATACTCTGTTGAGTCTCATCCCTCCTGCTCATATGTGGTACTCGGTATTAGACCTCAAAGATGCATTTTTTAGCCTACGCCTAGCACCAGTGGGCCAGCCCCTCTTTGCCTTCGAATGGACAGACCCAGACACCAGGACTACTGGACAGCTGACATGGACCTGGTTGCCACAGGGATTCAAGAACTCCCCCACTCTGTTTGGAGAAGCTCTCAGCAAAGATCTACGAGAGGTAAGGAGAGTTTTTCCCCAAGCAACTATTCTTCAGTATGTAGATGACCTCCTAGTGGCAACTTCGATTGATGAAGAGTGTCTTGCGGCCACCGAGAGCCTCCTGGAAGTCCTCCAAGACCTGGGATATTGGGTGTCTTGGAAGAAAGCTCAGCTCTGCCAGACCAAGGTAACCTACTTGGGCTATATTCTTGAGAAAGGGAAGAGGAGGCTGGCAGAATCGCGGGTATCAGCAATTCTCCAGATTCTGGAACCGAGCTCAAAGAAACAGGTGCGTGAATTCCTAGGGGTGGTTGGGTATTGCAGAGTTTGGATCCCTGGCTTTGCTGAAATTGCCAAGCCCCTGCACAAAGCCACCACGGGGGGAAATACACCCCTCGAATGGACTGAGGCTTGCCAGCAGGCTCTTCAATTGCTTAAAACTGCACTTGCACTGGCACCAGCCCTGGCACTGCCAGACTTAAATAAGCCCTTCAGTCTGTATGTAGTGGAAAAAAATGGGGTAGCCAAGGGAGTGATTACTCAGCCTTTGGGACCATGGAAGCAACCAGTGGCATACCTCTTGAAGAAGCTAGACCCAGTGGCCTGAGGGTGGCCTACCTGTCTGAGGACAGTAGCAGCAGCAGCTGCTCTAATCTGAGAGGCTGACAAACTGACATTTGGACAGGATTTGACTTTGATCACTCCCCATGCCATTGAGCCCTTGTTGAATAGCTCGCCTAGCAAGTGGCTGTCTAATGCCAGACTGTTGCAATACCAAGGACTCCTATTGGAACAGCTGTGTATTAGGTTTTCCACCACCGCCCATCTCAACCCTGCTACTCTGCTCCCAGAGTCCAAAGAGGAGGTGCCCATACATGACTGCCTGGAGATTCTCGAGAACTTGCAGGGAGGGCATCCAGATCTAATGGACCAAACCTTCCCCCAGGCTAAGGCCACGTTCTATATTGATGGGTGCAGCTTTGTGCAAGACGGGGTTCGATACACTGGAGCAGCAGTGGTCAACCAAAGTTGCCAAGTAGAATGGGCAACAGGACTACCCCCAGGGACCTCCACCCAAAAGGATGAATTGATTGCTTTAACAAAGGCTTTGGAATTGGGTAAAGAGAAAAAGATCAATATTTATACTGACAGCCGATATGCTTTTGCCACGGCCCATGTACATGGGGAAATTTACCAAAATAGAGGTCTCTTAACCTCTGAGGGAAAGACTATTAAAAATAAGACTGAGATCTTGGCATTATTGCAAGCCATTTGGCTGCCCCGGAAAGTGGCCATCATACACTGTAGGGGCCATCAAAAAGGGTCCGGCCCCGAGATAACTGGAAACAATGCCGCTGACCAAGCAGCAAAACAGGCTGCTCAAAAATCAGTGGGGAAGCAGTTGGTCCTGCACCCCACCCCAGTATTGCCAGATAAACCGGAGTATACCAAGGAAGAAGTAGAATACATGAAAAGAAAATGATGGAAAAAGGGGGATCATGGGTGGTGGACCACCGAAGGGGGAAAAATAGTTTTGCCAGGAGCCCTGGCAGACACCCTGCTCCGAGAACTACATGAGTCCACTCACCTTGGAGAAAGATGGATGCTGGCGGCCCTGCAGCCCCACTTCATCAGCCGAGGACTGACCCGAAAAGCTGAAGACCTGGTAAGACGATGTCCCACCTGTCTTCAGGTAAATGCCAGCCGAATCACGGGACCCCCAGGAATTCGCTATGGGGGAGTAATGCCAGGAGAACACTGGGAAGTAAACTTCACTGAAATGAAACCTGGCCTGTATGGACTTAAGTATTTGATAGTTTTTGTGGATACCTTTTTGGGTTGGATAGAGGCCTTCCCCACCAAAAAGGAAATGGCTGAAGTAACTGTAAAGAAACTTTTGACAGAAATAATTCCTCGATTTGGATTGCCATTAGCCCTGGGGTCCGACAATGGCCCGGCCTTCACAGCCAAGATATCCAAATTGATTAGCAGTGCCTTAGGAGTAAAATGGAATTTACATTGTGCATATAGGCCTCAGAGCTCAGGACAAGTAGAAAGGGCAAATAGAACCTTGAAGGAGACATTAAACAAATTAAGCATGGAGACTGAACAGGGATGGGTCGAGCTTCTCCCCTTTGCCCTCTACCGTACCCAGTGTACTCCAAGTTTGCCTTCGAATGTATCCCCCTTCCAGATAATCTATGGGTGAGCACTCCCTCTCGTCCCTAGAATTGATTTAGAATTGACAGAAAAACTCTCTCACCTCCAACTCCTTAAATCACTGAAAGCCATTCACCAGCTTCAGTAGGATTCGCAAGAAGAAATAAGAAAATCCAGAGCTCACCCTTCAGAAAAACCCTTATCACCCCTACTTTATAAGCTGGGAGATTTGGTTTTCATTCACAGGTTCAACTCCAAGACCCTGGAACCCCACTGGAAGGGAACATTTCCCGTCGTCCTGGTGACTCCCTCAGCCGTGAAGGTAGCTGGTCACTCTGCTTGGATCCACCACAGCCATTTAAAGGCGGCACCTCCTGAGGAAGGGGCGTCAACATGGCAGGTCGACGGGAACAAAGGGGACCCCCCTCAAGATAAGATTGATCAAAAACTAGTTTGGACAATATGGGGGCTCATGGGGTTGCTGTTCTTACCAGCCCCGATGGAAGGGGGATCTGCACACCAGCCGGTGCTGTCCAGCCACCCTCCCCAGAACTGGACCTGGTCCCTAAAAAAATGCCTTAATGGGAGCTCACAATGCCACCATTACTACTGATAGACAGGCCCATTTTGTTGTAGACCCGTGTGATCTGGGGCTTTCAATCATGGGGGGGGGCTGGTTCAAATGATAGGGTTTCATCCGGAAAAATGGGTACGGCGTGGAGGGAAGTGTGAAACAGATGATAATTTGGAAAGAAACCTCCAAGATATAGCTATTTATGCCTGCCCCATAGGAAAAGATAAAAGGTGTGATGGGGGACCAGGAAACCACTGTTATTATTGGGGTTGCAAATCTATTGCCCCATGGAAAACCGGTGGTGAAAATGATGAGTATTTGGCCTTAAAACGACAAACACCAAGCAGTTCATGTACCGTGGGAAAATGTAATCTCATCAAGTTAACCTTAAAACAATGGCAAAATCCGTATAAAGATTGGGAAAAAGGAAAATCCTGGACGGTGGCACTCAATGCGGGTGAAAAAGACCCTATGACTGACCTCATTATCCAGCATAGCCCAGTAATATTACCGCCTAAACCAGTGGGCAACATTTATAGGGTCTCTGGCCCCCAAAAGAAAAAGGCCAAAAGAACTCATAATGTGACATTAGCTGCTCCTGAATCTCTGATCCAGCCATACCTAAAAACCCTTAATGCCATGTATACCTTGTTAAATAGGTCTGACTACAGTGTTACCCAAGGATGTTGGATGTGTTTGAGTCCACGTCCCCCGTATTATGTAGGGGTGGCAGTAGATGGCACCTACTCAGAAGTTAACCAAGATGAGTGTGATTGGAAACAACAGAGGTTGTCAATAGGGGATATAACGGAAAAAGGGTTATGTGTTAAAAATCCAAGTGTTACATCCTCTTATCTGGACAGCGTATGCTCTTATCAAACACCCACTGCCAGTAATGAAAAATATCTAAAAGCTGGAAACAATGCATGGTGGGCGTGCACAAATGGTATAACTCCTTGTTTGTGCATGACAGTCCTTAATCAGGAACTTGAGGTATTCGTAATGGTCCACATTTTGCCCCAAGTAACTATATTTGGAGAAGACCAGGGTTGGGAATACCTAGCTAAGAAGACACACACCCGAGAAAAGCGCCACCCAGCTTTGATTCCCGTATTAACTGCAGCAGGCATTGCGGGATCAGCGGCTCTGGGCACGACAGCAAAAGGACTGCAAGACTCTAACTTCAAGACCCTTGCCCAGCAGGTAAAAATAGACTTAGGCCTGCTTACCGAGTCAGTGCCTCATTTAGAAAAACAGGTTGATTCTCTGGCTGAGATGGTCCTTCAAAATCGCCGAGGACTCAACCTTGGGTTTATGAAAGAGGGAGGGCTATGTGCAGCCCTAGGAGAACAATGTTGCTATTACGCTAATAAATCTGGAATAATAAGAGAAACCCTGGCCACTGTAAATAAACACCTACAAGAAAAGTATGATAGATTAGAAAAACGGGAGGGATGGTCCCAGTCAATGTTTAACTGGTCTCCCTGGTTGACTACTCTTGTTTCTGCCCTTGCTGGACCCGTTAATCTTGCTACTAGCTTTGACTTTCGGCCCATGCATTATTAATAAACTTATGGCCTATGTAAGGGCCCAGGTGGGATCTGTTCACCTAATGGTTTTAAACCAACAGGCTAGATACAACCCAGTGCCACTAGAAGAAGAAAGCCGCGCGTAGGATTACTTACTGTGCTAAAATCAGTGGGGAATGTGAGAGTGAATAAAAGTTACTCCATTTTGTAATAAGGCCCCATCTTGTCTGTTTCTGTTACACTTCACCATGGGGACGTCGAGTTCCCAGAATGTGCTTGTTGCTGTTCCAAGGAAACTGCAAGTTAGCCTTATGCCTGTTATGTAAAGTTTGGTTGCTAGACTACCCCAACCGCCAACATCTCGCTTCTGTACTTTTGCTTGCAAAGTTCCCTCTTGCGACCCCTATAAAGACCTCAGTCCCTGAGCCGGTCGCCCCTCTAAGCATGGTGCTTGAGGGTGCCGTCTGGCCAGACTAATAAAGGTCTGTTTTACTTTCACAACTTGTCTGGTGTGTTCCCTCCCGGGTGATCTTCACTGTAGTCAGCTCCTCGGAGCGTTTGGTGAGGCCCACGGTCTTACACCGGCCACTCCGAGCTCCGCCCCTTCACCGCGGCCAGTGCTCATTCACTGGAGCCCTCCTTCTTCACTTCCCCATTGGTCCTGCTTTCCCCTCCTTCTTACACACGATGCTCAGCTCCGCCCTTCACGGAGAGGTTGTGCAGAGCAGCCTCAGAGGCCGTCCCGGACCTTTCTCCGTGTGACTTTCCCTTCTTCCCGGCATTCCTGTTTCCGCTTTCTCGGTGCTCTCCGGGTTCTGCACCACTAAGGTGCTTCGTGCCCGGTGCTTCAGTAACGTCATCTCTCTGCGCCGCGCGGACACCCGCCGGTAGAAGGGGAACCATTCCGCCGCCCTTCCCCTCTTTTGTTGGCCTGCTGCTCCTTCCGAATCATGGCGCCATCGCTATGGA